GATGGGGTCTCGCTCTTGCTCAGGCTGGTTTCGAACTCCTGACCTTGAGCAATCCACCCGCCTGGGCCTTAAATACTCTATTCTAAGATAAAAAAAAAAAAACATCACAAACCCTTACATGTAGAACAGTCACTAAAAGAGAAGATGGAATTGGTCCCAGGATAACAGGAAATGTCATCGGATGCTCAGCCTTGACGATTTAACATCTAGTTAGCAGTTGGCTTCTAACAATCTCCACACATTATTTTTTCTATTTTATCTCACTTCTCAATTTCAGTTCTTGGAAGTCTATTTTATCTATAGGAACCTTATTTTAGCCAGGAATCCTATTCATATCTACTTAATGGCTAAATCTTTGACACATTACATATTTATATGTTTTGGGCTAAGGTGAAGAAAATAGCAGGTAGCTCACTTTTAAAACCAAATACCTGATTATTATCTGCTGACACTATAGAACAGTTTGCATTTTGTTTTGTTTTGTTTCTTTTGGTGGGAAGATAGGGTCTTACTCTGTCACCCTGGCTAAAATGCAGTGATGTCATCGTAGCTCACTGCAACCTCAAACTCCTGGGCTCAAGCAATCCTCCTGCTTTAACCTCCCAAAGTGCTAGGATTATAAGTGTGAGCCACCGCGCCTGGCCAGAACTGCTTTCTAACACTTTACATAGAATAATCTTCATCCTTACAAGGGACTGAGAGGAACTTGTATGTACTTCGATTCTGCCTCCTGTTTTGAATTAACAGCTTCAACTGTGAGAGCCACTAGCTATAGGAGTTTTATTGACTCTATCATAAAGTTTTAAGAAAGAAGACTCACTTTAGCATTTCTCTTGGTTCCCTGATTAACAAGATATATCTGGGAACAAATGACAATTGCTAAACATCATGGGAAAATTTTTTCATCTTTACTGCAGGCACTGTTTTTGTTAGAACACTATTAAATTTTATAAATGGCTGAGCCATTTGTCCAAAAGTGCTCACCATTATAATTTTAATAGTTCTTTATGAGATTATGGATAATGTGCAGCATAACTACTTAGCTAATAGTAATAATAATGTATATGTTGCATCTTACAGACGCAGGCTGGTGAAGGCAGGGTGTATAAGTGCCTCTTTAACCATAAATTTGAAGAATCCATGAGTGAAAAGGTAAGTATTACTTTGAAACAAAACCAGTGTTTTATTCATTTTTTTAAAGTTTTCTCAAGTCCTCTCAAACAATATTCTTACCATATTATACCAAAATGTAAATTACTGGTAAAGCTTACCCTTTTCAGAGGTGAGATACGGATTGAAGTAGAGAACCAGAGTATATTTGGCTTAAACCAAGAAAATGAAGCTCTAATTACGCTATTTAGACAGTGAGAAACAAATTGGTCGATTTGGGGGCGAAAAAATCAGAGAATTTTTAATAAAATCACACTGAGGCCAGCCCCACATACACCGAAAGTTTAGGCTAACCAAAGCAATGTGCTTCATAAGTAATTAGCTGTTTAATTTTTAAGCAGTGTTCTCATTAACCATTCTCATTACTTTTAATCCTCTATCCCTGGATTAACGCAAGAATCTTTTATAGCTTTTGAAATAATTAATTTTTTTGTGTTGTCATTTACTTTCCTCTGTAGCTGAAGAAATGTTTCTCATTTTGGTTTCCTTATATCATTTACTATTGAATAATTTTATTTTAAAAGTAGAAAATGTTACCTCCAACATGTTATGTTGCTGTGAAATTTGTGTCAGGGATAATGTTGAAGAGGAAAAGAATACTTTTTGTCAAGTTAACAGTATTGGGTTCTACCAAGTATTTATGTGTTTAGGACAGTTTCTTTTGTAACAGCCATTTACAGTTCACTACAGAATTTCTGGGTTCATCGCCCATTTACCCCTATCTCATGCCACACTAGCTTAGCATGCTTGTACAAAATTTAATCAGTCTTAAAGATAGACATTTTGGTAATGACCACAGTTGTTGACATGTACTTGGCTGTAGTCCCCATGCTCATCTTACGGGTACATGTCAACCACTAAGCCACATGCACGGCCTAAAAGCTCTCTTGCTGTACTCCTTCCTCAGTGTCGAGAAGCACTCACAACCCGCCAAAAGCTGATTGCCCAGGATTATAAAGTCAGTTATTCATTGGCCAAATCCTGTAAAAGTGACTTGAAGAAATACCGGTGCAATGTAGAAAATCTTCCTCGATCCCGGGAAGCCAGACTCTCCTACCTTCTAATGTGCCTGGAGTCAGCTGTGCACAGAGGTAGAGTTCATTTCTTTTTATCCTTTTTATTCCTTTTTGCATTGACACTCTAAAGTTTCTTATACCTATAAATGTTAGTTTCCTCCTATATTTGTTCTTTTGAAGTTTTTGGGTTTTTTTTGAGTTAGTGTTTTGCTATCACCCAGGCTTAAGTGTAGTGGCACAGTCATAGCTCACTGCAGCCTTGAAGTCCTAGGCTCAAGCGAGCCTCCTGTCTCAGTCTCCTGAATAGTTGGAATTATAGGAGTGCACCAGCGTGTCTGACTAATTTTTCTATTTTTTGGTAAAGATGGGGTCTCGCTCATGCTCAGGCCAGTCTTGAACTCCTGGCATCAAGCGATCTTCCCCCCTCAGCCTCCCAAGTAACTGGGACTGTAGGTATGTGCCACTATTCCTGGCTAATCTTATCTTATCTTATCTTATCTTTTCCTTTCCTTTCTTTTCCTCCTCTCTCCCAGCCTCGCTCACAGCAACCTTGAACTCCTGGGCTCAAGTGATCCTCCTGTCTCAGCCTCCTGAGTAGCTGGGACTATAGGCACGTGCCACCATGACCGGCCAATTTTTTTTTTTTTTTTTTAGTTGTTTGGCTAATTTCTTTCAATTTCTAGTAGAGACAGGGTCTTGCTCTTGCTCCGGCTGGTCTTGAACTCCTAAGCTTAAGCAATCCTCCCGCCTTGGCCTCCCAGAGTGCTAGTATTACAGGCGTGAGCCACCATGCCCAGCCAATGCATATTTTACTATAACAGGATTTTATATGTGTATATAAATAAGTGGTAACACTGTATTTTCAAATGCTTTGGTTTGCTATATTAATGGTATACATCAAATTGTTGAAGCATATCTTGTGAATAAAGATTAGAACTCTTAAATAGAAAATAGGGGCAGTAGGAGCTAAATGCTGGTTACACACAGGCATAGGGACGTAAAGGACATTAGCAACTAAGATGGGGGGAGTCCAGAAGGGGGTGAGGGATAAAAACTTACCTAGCGGGTACAGTAAATACTGTCCTGGCGGTGGGCACACTGAAAGCCCTGACTTCAGCATTATACAGTGTGTCCATGTAACAAATACATTTGCACCCTCTTAATATTTTGAAATTAAAAAGCAAAGAGAAAATATTTAGGGGAAATTTCTCATATGTTGGATGAATGAATGCTTTGGTTACTATGGGGTTGATACAAGATACAATTAAAGATAATTAGCTGGTTTTAAGGAAAACTCTCAAAAGCACTTTGTATAAATGGTGGTAATCTTGTTAAGTTGCATTAAAATAAATCTAAAACATCAAAATGAGTATTACACTACAAATTTGTACCATATTGGGGTGTTTGTGGACAGAAGAGTAGAAAAAGGAGAAAGAGGGTCTCTGTAACTTCTTTTCTCAATGGATTTTTATGATTGGTTTGGTTTTTAATTCGACTGAAAACGCTATTCGTGAAATGCCTGGCTCTTAGAAATGAGCAGAGATTTCTGCAATATTATTTCAGTATTGACATATGATCAGAATCTCAGGCTGATGTCATTTCTTAAGAATTTTTTGATATTTTAAACTTTAAAATTTCAGGTCTCTATTTTTAGTGCTAACTAAACTATAGTACTTAAATTTCCCAGGTTCTCTATTTCCATTTGTAGTGTGCAGTATTATATTCTAACCAAAGATTATTGGGGGTATTTTCTTTAATTTCTACAATGTCTTTGGTTCTCACTTGATTTTTCTATAAAGCATCAATAAGCTAACTATGTGTTGGGGTTTTTAATTACTTTTTTTTAGCCCGATGATGTTTATTTGAAACCCATGTGGTGAGTGTTTTAAAATATTAATATCCTTGCTATCTTAGGATGCACATTCACAAGGTGAGGTGGTATCATGCTTGGAGAAAGGCTTGGTGAAGGAAGCAGAAGAAAGAGAGCCCAAAGTCCAAGTTTCTGAACCCTGCAAGAAAGCCATTCTCCGCGTGGCTGAGCTCTCCTCCGATGACTTCCATTTGGACCGGCATTTATATTTTGCTTGCCGAGATGATCGGGAGCGTTTTTGTGAAAATGTGAGTTAGCTCAGAAGGTGTTCTTCTTTTATTCCTTTTCTTTTCAAATATTTTTAAATACTCTATTTTTTTTTTAGGCAGAGTCTCACTTTGTTGCCCAGGCTAGAGTGAGTGCTGTGGCATCAGCCTAGCTCATAGCAACCTCAAACTCCTGGGCTCAAGCGATCCTACTGCCTCAGCCTCCCAAGTAGCTGGGACTACAGGCATGCGCCACCATGCCCGGCTAATTTTTT